AATCATTTGAGGTACTCCGCTTAAGGATCGGATATGAATTGGCAGAGATATAGTCATCTGAAGTGGCGATATGAGAGGATCCCGGGTTTCCAACCATCACAAAAATTTGAAAAAAATTCAAAAAATATTTTGTGTCAGGGTTTTGATGCAGATTGGTGCAGAATTCACCCACAAATCATTTAAGGTACTCCGCTTAAGGATCGGATATGAATTGGCAGAGATATAGTCATCTGAAGTGGCGATATGAGAGGATCCCGGGTTTCCAAGGGGAACCACCAGAAAAATTTGAAAAAAATTCAACAAATATTTTGTGTCAGGGTTTTGATGCAGATTGGCGCAAAATCGTCCCACAAATCATTTAAGGTACTCCGCTTAAGGATCGGATATGAATTGGCAGAGATATAGTCATCTGAAGTGGCGATATGAGAGGATCCCGGGTTTCCAAGGGGAACCATCACAAAAATTTGAAAAAAATTCAAAAAATATTTTGTGTCAGGGTTTTGATGCAGATTGGTGCAGAATCCACCCACAAATCATTTGAGGTACTCCGCTTAAGGATCGGATATGAATTGGCAGAGATATAGTCATCTGAAGTGGCGATATGAGAGGATCCCGGGTTTCCAAGGGGAACCATCACAAAAATTTGAAAAAAATTCAAAAAATATTTTGTGTCAGGGTTTTGATGCAGATTGGCGCAAAATCGTCCCACAAATCATTTAAGGTACTCCGCTTAAGGATCGGATATGAATTGGCAGAGATATAGTCATCTGAAGTGGCGATATGAGAGGATCCCGGGTTTCCAGGGGAACCATCACAAAAATTTGAAAAAAATTCAACAAATATTTTGTGTCAGGGTTTTGATGCAGATTTGTGCAAAATCGACCCACAAATCATTTGAGGTACTCCGCTTAAGGATCGGATAGGAATTGACAGAGATATAGTCATCTGAAGTGGCGATATGAGAGGATCCCGGGTTTCCAAGGGGAACCACCAGAAAAATTTGAAAAAAATTCAACAAATATTTTGTGTCAGGGTTTTGATGCAGATTGGCGCAAAATCGTCCCACAAATCATTTAAGGTACTCCGCTTAAGGATCGGATATGAATTGGCAGAGATATAGTCATCTGAAGTGGCGATATGAGAGGATCCCGGGTTTCCAAGGGGAACCATCACAAAAATTTGAAAAAAATTCAAAAAATATTTTGTGTCAGGGTTTTGATGCAGATTGGTGCAGAATCCACCCACAAATCATTTGAGGTACTCCGCTTAAGGATCGGATATGAATTGGCAGAGATATAGTCATCTGAAGTGGCGATATGAGAGGATCCCGGGTTTCCAAGGGGAACCATCACAAAAATTTGAAAAAATTCAAAAAATATTTTGTGTCAGGGTTTTGATGCAGATTGGCGCAAAATCGTCCCACAAATCATTTAAGGTACTCCGCTTAAGGATCGGATATGAATTGGCAGAGATATAGTCATCTGAAGTGGCGATATGAGAGGATCCCGGGTTTCCAAGGGGAACCATCACAAAAATTTGAAAAAAATTCAACAAATATTTTGTGTCAGGGTTTTGATGCAGATTTGTGCAAAATCGACCCACAAATCATTTGAGGTACTCCGCTTAAGGATCGGATATGAATTGGCAGAGATATAGTCATCTGAAGTGGCGATATGAGAGGATCCCGGGTTTCCAAGGGGAACCACCAGAAAAATTTGAAAAAAATTCAAAAAATATTTTGTGTCAGGGTTTTGATGCAGATTGGCGCAAAATCGTCCCACAAATCATTTAAGGTACTCCGCTTAAGGATCGGATATGAATTGGCAGAGATATAGTCATCTGAAGTGGCGATATGAGAGGATCCCGGGTTTCCAAGGGAAACATCACAAAAATTTGAAAAAAATTCAAAAAATATTTTGTGTCAGGGTTTTGATGCAGATTGGTGCAGAATCCACCCACAAATCATTTGAGGTAATCCGCTTAAGGATCGGATAGGAATTGGCAGAGATATAGTCATCTGAAGTAGCGATATGAGAGGATCCCGGGTTTCCAAGGGGAACCATCACAAAAATTTGAAAAAAATTCAAAAAATATTTTGTGTCAGGGTTTTGATGCAGATTGGCGCAAAATCGTCCCACAAATCATTTAAGGTACTCCGCTTAAGGATCGGATATGAATTGGCAGAGATATAGTCATCTGAAGTGGCGATATGAGAGGATCCCGGGTTTCCAGGGGAACCATCACAAAAATTTGAAAAAAATTCAAAAAATATTTTGTGGCAGGGTTTTGATGCAGATTGGTGCAGAATCCACCCACAAATCATTTGAGGTACTCCGCTTAAGGATCGGATATGAATTGGCAAAGATATAGTCATCTGAAGTGGCGATATTAGAGGATCCCGGGTTTGCAAGAGTTTCCCCTTGAACCATCAGAAAAATTTGCAGATTGGTGCAAATTCGGTGCCTTGTGGGTATTGATCAGTCTCTTCAGTGGACTTTTCAAGTACTGGACATCAATTAGTTCTAATTTTTGTGTATATGAATGTTGGCCATTGGCAGAATAGAATATTTTGTGCATATAAAATGGCCGAAAGAATAATAGCCGAACGAGGCCCCTACAGCCTGCCACCAACAACTGGATTTGAATAAATCCTTTAGAGCTGAGGACACGCACAAAAGCGCAAGCAACGCAAACAGGTCAAGGATATTATGCATATGTGAGTAGGCAAAACGAAACGAAAGCGAAACTAAGGAATGGCTAAAAGCAGCAGTGGGTCAGAAAAGGAGGAAGAGGGTTGGCGGCGGGTTGGAGGGTTGAAGGGTGTTGGGTAAAAGGAAAACTCTCATTTTGACTGCCATTGTCACCATCAGCAGCACCAGCAGCAGCATCTCCATCGTCATCGTCATCGTTGCGTTGCAACGTCATCTTCATCTACAACATCATTGTTGTGCCACGCCACTCGAAAGTCGCACAAATGAACGCGTAATTGTTTGCACATGAATACATTGAGTAAATATTTGCAAACACATTCAGCATTCAGAGGCATTCCACCGCTTTTCCTTGGCTTTTCCACACCCGCGCTCTCCACTCGCCACTCTCGGCAACGCAATGCTTTTGCCTTTAGCCTCCTGCATCCTGAGCCGGAGCTGAGCCATCATCATTTGCATGCCGAGGCAAAAGACTTGAATTGCATTGCCAAGTCAAAGAAGGCCTTAATCTGCTTACCTTGCCTCGGTGACATTTCTTTTCACTTTTCCCGCCTCCTGCCACCCATTTTCCTTTTCAGCTACATATTTTTTTTTTTGTGTGTAGTAAAGACTAGGAAAATGGAAAACCGCCGGAAAAGTTGCTTAGCTTGGCAGGGCTTTGCTTTAATTACGGTGGCCTCCCCCCGACTTTGAGAGCATAAACAAATTGCAAATTGTTTATGGCATGCAAATTAATCAAATCTCTTTCTCAATTAAGCCTGCAAGCCAAGTAGAGCCCGGAAACTGAGAAGAACAAGAAAAAAGAAGCAACAGAAAAAATGTCTAGAAAATGGTTAGAAAATTGGTAAAGCAACTGCCGGTTCCGGCTATGCCACAAAAAGGGAATTGCGATACAAGTTTAAAAGATATATATTTCACAAAAAGTACTACTTTTAACATCCTACTAGCATCCTACTATATTTGGAAATAAATTCCACCATATTATGTAGCTGGGAAGTTCATCAAAACTTTATTTAACGTTTCACTGCGTGTATGGCAATTACATTTAGTCAGCTGGGTAATTGAGAGTGAGCTTCTCCCCCTATTAACTAAACGAAGGGAGAAAACTCATGTAATTGAGTGTAAACTTGTCAGAGCATTTATTTAATGCCTAATCAAGTGATGTACAACACATGAGTTGCCCTCCCATACCGGGTTTTATTTCAACCGATTTGGATCGGACCTGCATGTCAAGGGTTAAAGTTAAGAGCGGTGGAAGTGGGGGTTAGGTTAAGTTAAAGTGCCAAATGGTAAATGGTAAGTGTAAAGTGGCATCGTGTCACTTTTGGAGGAGCTTGTCAAAGTTGTGTTGTCCAATTAGCATAATTTCTTGTCTCAACTTTAGCCCCTGATGCAACAGATATGAGAAAGTATCCTGTATCCTATATCTGCGACACATCTAAATTGCCGGATGCTTTGGCTTGGAATTTGTCCAAAGACCCCAACCGCACTCATCCACCACCCCCCCTCCCCCATTAAATTGTCCTTTCCCTGACATGGCCGTTCATTAGGAGAACTTATCCAGCTGATGGCATTTTCTGCTTAGATGGATTCCCTCATTAAAGAATAAATTGTAATTATTTTAGATGTGCCAGCAAAACGATTAATCACAGCTATCTACCTAGGATTATGTGCAGAAAATGCTTAGTATCAGCCTTTATATGTGGAAATATACTACTTCTTCTATTAATTATTTTTATACTCATGCTTCAAATTTTTATTTAAAAACTATATCATTTAGGGAAACTATTCCTCAGTGGCTGTAAGCTATTTGAAGGCAAGGTCTTAACCTTGGGTAAAAAACCCAAGAAACATGATACCTAAAATGTAAAATACTAAACCGTTTAGGCAGCAACTATTCCCCTCCACACACCCTCTTGGCCCGCTGGCAATTATGGCCAAAACCAATTAGAAGCAAACCGAGTAAAAGAGAAAATATCAACAGCTGGCAAAGAGCGAGCCAAGGTCGTTCATTAGCCGGGCTTTCTCTTCTCACCACGCGAACTGGAGGCGGCCGAAAGGATAACGAGGATAACTCACCACACAACGACGACGCTGGTCGAGGACGAGGAAATCGGTCGGAAAAGCCGAACATTTTCCGTGCGGCGTTCAGTCTCACGTCGAACTTTGCAGCTATTTGTTGCCAAATTCAAAAAAACCGGCTGGAAAAGCCACCGAGCTTACTGGGCCACTGAACCATTCAACCACTAAGCCACTAAAAACAACTGAACCCACTACAAAAAAAAAAAAGAAAACAAATATAACACAACGATATTTCGCGTAGTGTTGTTACTTTTGGCCAACAAAAATCCCTATAACAATATTTAAAAATAAAATACAAAATAACAAACCAAAAACAAACCATGGAGTTTCTAAAGTGATTTTGTGATTACTTACCATTTTAAATTTTTAAAAAATAAATACACGAATAATAAAAATGATAATACATGTGGAATTAAGCAACAAAAATTCATAAATATTTTGTGCAGATTTTTGATCCATTCAGTTAGTCCTTTTTTTTATGTTTTTGTTTTGTTTTGCCGGCACAACAAAACATCCAAGTGCGTACAAAAATAATAATGATACGACAACGACGGTGTCTCTGATGATGATGTGACGGATGTGATTCGAGTAAAAATTGAATAACAAGTGAATGCAACAAATGTGCATCAAATGAAAAATTGATTCACACAAGTGTGAAAAGAAACCCCAAGCTAACAAAACTGAGATAATCAGCAGCCAAGCTAAATAGAAAAAAAAACCCAATCAACCAAATAAGCTTGAAGGCTCCAAGAAAGGGCTCCAAAGAACGGTTAGTAAACACAAATTGTTTATTTTTCGTGGTTTTTGTTTAGCTTAAGGGATGCCTTGATAACTAAAATGACAAAACTAAAAGAAAACAACTAACTAAAATGGTAAAACTGTAAGAAAACAAAGTCAATTTAAAGTGATGGGGACATCCTAATCCATATGATCAGTGGTACTTGCTGGTGGTAATCGTTGTTGATTTTGTTTCGATGTTGAAATCCATTTTAAATACGTTTTTCTTGTTTATAGTTACTGGGGTTGTAAATATTTTAAATAATATTGTTTAAGTTTACTCGCCATGGGGAAACATTCTAGAGGCCTCTGTCCCGAACCGTGTACTAAAAAACAAATCAGTTTCAAATTAATTGAAATGGAAAATGGGAAACACTTACATGTAGTTGGCATATTGATTAAAGTGAACCAGGCCAGCGCCTGATAGATTCTCGATAAAATAGGACGAGTGAGGCTCGAACGACACTATTGCGAAAAAAGACAGAAACTCCAAAATTATACCCTTAAAAGTCTTAAAATGGTTATCCCTGGAGGAAGAAAGAATAAAATTTCCATAACCTAGACACGTGGGTTTCAAATATGTATGTATACTCACACTTGCGGATCGCTGGACTCAAAAATGGCGAGTCTACGTCCCGTGCGTATGATGCCGACAGAATTGTCATTGAAATCAAAACAGTCCAACAAATGATGAAAAAAACTGAGATCTTTGACCACAAACATTTGCTGACTGCCCTGCTCGATGATGAAAACATAATATTCATTCAGACGATCAACTATAAATGGAATTAAACATTCTGAAAAAGGTTTCTTCTTATTGAATCACAATGTTGAATACGAACCCCTTTTGGTATTCTTGTAGGAGCGATAAAGTGGCCGTCCGCTGGCTCTAATCGGAGGCAGTGGCTCTGTAGCCACCCATCTATAATTATTGGCTCCCTGCAGCATCTCTGCAAAGTTTAACTCCATAGTTGTTGAAAATTGCTAGGCAGTTTTAAGATTATAGGTTTTTACTGTAAAGCACAATTTTGAGACACAATATTACAAGTCGAACGTATTTTTGATTTTGACACTTGAAACAGTTAGCGTACTACTTGATTAGTGTTGGTAAAAGCTAAAAATGTAAAAATCATCGATTTTGTTAGTGATGATCCCTGCGAAGGGCTGATCAACAAAACGATAGTATTTTTTTGGGATATTTTAGGCACTTTTTGGCGCAAAGCTCAAATTCCCAAGAAATAAACACAACTGACTTTAGCATCACAATAAAAAAAATAAAGAAGAACTACTTAAGTAACTCCATCTCCGAAGAATGAAAACTATCCCAAGCCGGGCTAGCAAGGATAACAAGGACATCGGCGAGAAAAAGTGTGACAAAAAACACAAGCAACCGTCGTAAAGGGCCTGCATGATTTATAAGGCACATTAAATTGAATATTCAACATAATGTAGCATTTAAATGACCCACGCACAACGCGTCCTGGCATAAAACAGAGCCGGGACACAAGATATATTATATGTCAGTGGTATGTATATAAAATATATATAAATTTCTGGAGTTGTTGGATTCTTCTTGAAGGTCATCGCTGATGTCTCTAAGCAACAAGCTCGCCGCCACTAATGGTGAAAAAAGTGAGGAAGACACAACCCTTGGAACCATATTGTTTAAATGCGAAAATCGCTTAAAGTTCTTCCAGCGATTGAATTCCATTTCCTTGCCAAAAAAAAAAAAAGTGTGCTAACATCGGTGTGTGTGTATGTGAGTTGGTGTGGGTATGCCAAAGTAATTTACCCACACAAGCGCAGGCAAGCGTCATAAATCACACGTTTTGGCCAACTACAGAAAGTGACACTTGGACAGGAGCGGGGCCCCCAACAAACAACAAAAAAAATGGGCGAGGGGCCCGAACGAGAGACGCCAACGGCGGTGGGGGGGACACGCGTTACGTGTTCAGGTCAAATGTCAGAAGTCAGCCAATTTGGGAAACATTTTGACAGACACTGCGCTTAGTCGCCTCCGGGCTGCAACTCTAGTGCGAAGCGATTATCCCGGCTGATGAGTTACTTTCTCCCCATCTCGACGGGGATTATTCGATATACGTGATTTTTGCTGGACCTTAACCGGAGAGCATTATCCACTGGGGTTTGCTGACCAACGCCTCTAATCGTGTGAAAGAATTCATATATTTAGGTTGTCTATAACCTTTTGTTTTAATCCCATTAATAAACAGAGTAAAATCGATTATACCATCTCAAAAGATTCGTTTTAGATGTTAATAATGTATGGTTTTAGCCTCTTAAAAATTTTCAAACAATTGTAGTCAGACCATAGCATCTCCCTTAATTATCGCTTTTACCAAAATAAAGCTAATAAATTGGAAAAAGATTTTTGTATTTCATTTAACACAACCAAATTTATTACATCACAACTAATGTTTGATATGTATAGTGTATTTATGTTGTATTTCTATATTTATGTATAATGTATAATGTATGTTATGGATTTAAATTTATGGAAAAGTGAAACTCAGGCTTTTATAAGCCCAAACTTGACCTTAAGCTTCCGCTTGATCCTTTTCTCTCCTGGGTGTTGCTCGATCTCTAGCTCGTCTTTGATAACTTTACCGCCTTCAGTTATATAATCATACGCAGCACGCTGCAAAAGATCGAGAACTGTGTAGGGCCCGACATTCCACGCGTTTACAAAAAAGAAGCCGCCTTGCATATAGTCGAGGTTGCGGTAGGGTTCCAGATCCAGCTGCGGCTTGTTGGCAGCACATAGATTGATAATCAAATGATCGAAGAAGCGACGATGCTCCAAAGCGATGAGCCCATCCACGGGTATTACGGCCAGCTCCTTGACGACCAACGATCCGCCAGGTCGAATGCTAGTGCCCAGCATTAGAACGAAACTGCAACCAAAGTGTGCAGCAAACTCTCGAATGGCCAATTCGGCGTTTTCAAAGGCAATAAATCTGGTCAGGGCCATGGGGAAACAGCACTGCACCACACGCAGAGTACTCTTTACACCTTTCATGTATCGCGTGGTCTTCAGGATTTTGAATTCCCGCCTAAGGATCTGGGGCAGTGTCAAGTGTCTCATATCGAAAATAGAATTCACTAGAGAATTGTACAGAATGGTACGTTGATGGTCTTTCAGTTTGCCCAAATAGCGTTCGAGGAAGAGCATCATACGATAGTCCTGGAGATGACAGAGCTTCGCCACCGGAATAGTTATGAAGTTTCGGTTCGTCAACAGCAAGGCGGCATGCAACAATTCAAAGACCCGTATGCATCTGACAGACGCGGAATTCGACATGGAATTGGAATACCTAGCGGCTGCCAATGCCGCGCACGACCTTACTGGGTACATCACACGCTGACAGTATGTGGGCAGCCTAGCTGCCTGGCTCTGGAAGCTCCTGTAGTCGTACACCTCTTCAGTCCCAAAGTGAAACGGGCTCACATGATGATTGATCAAAATGAAGCGACTCTTCAGCAATAACTCCTCGGGCAGATCGTCCCGAAATATGAGATGGATTTCTGGTTTAATTCCCTGTTTACCAAGCAAAAAGCAGACCTCTGTCTTGACCGGATAATCTTTTCGCTGCATGTCCAGAACTGGTGCATACAATTGTGGCAAGCCGCCTTTGTTGCAATAACGCAGATAGGCTATGGCCAGTGTGCTGACCACAGAGTCCAGATCGCAGCTCTCATGGGTCATGCACAAATAGATCATCTCGGTTCCAGTACCATCACTCACCTAATATAGGTAACATTATAATCATTCTTGCACTTTGTATATATTTTATGTTTTCTTTAATACTCACCCAATCGATTCGACGCTGTGTTTCTTGTAAGAAACTTATAAAGTCCAATGTATCCGCTTCAGAATCACTCATTTTTCCTAGTCTCCAGCTAATGCTCTACTCTGCGCTTTAAGTTGTTAAAATATAATGAGTTTCTACTCCTGCCAAAAATTAAGAATAAAATAAAATGAAATCACCAAGTCTACAATATTTTGAAATAAAAAGGGACGCCACTTGGAGACACATGTTGTGAAAAGTTTTAAGAAAAAAGTGTGACCAACAAAAAGTTATACGATATACGATAAACGATAAGCTAGTTGCAGCTCCAGTGGCCGTAGAAATAATTATTTTCTACAAAAGTTCACAGAGCACCCAAAACATAACTTTTTCAATAACTGATTAAAAACATACTCACCATACTCAGAGTTTTCTATAAAAAATAGAATAAGGAAATATTATTAAATAGTTTGAGGAAAACTCAATTTACGCCCCGAGACCCTAAACGATTATCCCGAAAATTTCGACTTTGAGAAATCTCAGCCATTAACTTTGGAGTGACTGTGATATTGCCAGTAATCCATTCCCTTCCGAGATAATCACTCAGCCAATCCTCTTGACCCCAAATATCATATTTCCCACCATGAATTATGAGCTGTTTTCCTTCCCTTATACATACATACATATATGTATATATTTTTGGGGGCTCTGGGGCTAACAAGATGTTTATAAAAATGATATTACGATTTACCTAACCCACACATGACGCGACGAGGATGGCGAGGACACGCACAATGTGTGAAATGAATGTCAAGAGGGGGTTGCCGGGCCCATTAGACATCCCATTAATCTAATCATATGAGTTCCACTGTCGGCTCATCTTTTTTTCTAGACAGGAAAACAGTTCCCCCCCCAGAAATCATGAACTCTAAAATGGTTTTGGGTCCAGAACCAGAGACCAAACAAATTATACGGAAACGTATGCAGATTTATATTTTTTTGGCAAGACTTTTGGTTACTCTGGCAAGTTTCTTATATGTTTTAGAAACTTAAATAATAAGGGTAAAATATATATAATTTTATTTCAAAATTGATAAAGATCAGCTCTAGAAAACCAATCTCTACCTCTTTAGAAAAGATAAAGAAATACTTAAAAACTTTTCCACGTTTTTGGAGATGAAAAAACGAACTACAATTTAAACTATATATTTTTTTAGCTTAGGGCTTAAAGTTAAAAAATGTTTAAAAAACATGTGTAATATAAAAAAGTCCATTAAATCAAACAAACAAATTCCATAACCCAAACAAGACAACAATCAGAAGAGAGATGAACAAAAAATCCTCCTTATAGTTTATGAAAGATGTTACCCTCTGTGCCTTACCAGATCGGATCAAATAATATAATGCCCCCTGCCAAGCCAGGGTATATGTATGTATATATATAATATATATACAAAAAAGGACAACAACCACACGAAGAGACATTTGCGAGTTGATTTATAAGCGCGCTGATGTCAGTTACGTGCAAAATGGCAGCAAGTTCTGGCCCACGCACGCACTCAATATTGTTGTTGTTGCTTGCTTACCTGCCTTTGTGCTCAGGTGGGACAAAAAACGAGAGAGGGGGTGGTGTGGGGAATGGGTTTGAGGGGGTGAAAGGTTACTAAAGGGGATTTGGCAAAAGCAAGGCTGGCTGCCATTGCGCAAATTGCTTGCAACACTTTTTGTGCCCCCTTGCCACCTTTTTTTTTTGCTTTTGGCTTTTATAAATCGTTTAGACACCACCGCCCACTCCACCACCTACTCCAGCAGCACCACCTCTGCCTCTACCTGCTCGTGCTCCACCAAACAGAACAACAATAACAAAATGAGACGACGCCGACGACGACGACGACGGTGTTGAGTCAAAAGAAGCCCGAAAAACAGGAAGCCACTCCCGCCAGTCGCGTCCTCGTCCTTTTCGTCCTTATGCGGCCGGGGCGCCACTCAAAACACATCCATCAACAACGTATTTATATGAGAAGCAAAAGGTTAAAGGTGTTTTTCTGTTTCTGTTTCTGCTTCTGTTTTGTATCCAGTATCGCAACATCCCTGCCAGATTCCACCAGGAGGCTTCTCCTAATTGTCAGAGACTTTGCTTTGGCTTCCAACTTGTTTTTGGTCCTTGCATACTTTTGTATGCCTCGCGTAATGAAGATAATGGCTGCTAAGCGGATCCACCAGGATTTCTGAGACACCTCACCACCCACCCTCCAGCCAAACTCCCCCAAACAAAATCTCACACCCAGGCGGTACAAAAAAAAAACGTCATAAAATCGACACTCTTTCAAGGCGGCAATTTCGGCTGGAAGACGTTTCTTTTTTTTTATCCTCAAGGATCTAGATAAAGTCGGATAAAGTCAGCTGACTGTAATTTTTTTCAAATTAAATTTTTATCTTACACGTACATTTCTGCTCGTAATTACAAAGTCAAATCATGATTTTGGTTTAATTCTTTCGTGAAAGCCTTTAAGAAAAAATGGAATTCCTTGGGACCCTTTGGGGCTGGAAATCTATGATATTCGCGTTGAACTTTAGCACCAGCTGCTGGTTTACTATTTAATATCCTTTCATTATATTTTCTTTTTGTCGTTTTGTAATTTGCACCCGAGGTGCAGGCGGCTTGCCTTTCCTTTTTATTTTTGGAGTAGTGGTAGTAGCATCTCTGGTTGCTTCAGCAAGGACTAGCATTAATTAAATTCTTTCAGCTGTTAAAAGGTGTCGAGTCTGCCATTGAGAGGGAGGTGGGTGGTGGGCGGTGGGCTAATTGGCAAAATGCTTTCAAGGGCCGGGCTAACGAGGCGTATGCGTAATGCGAGCAAAGCTGCAGAGAAGTACAAGAACAAAAAAATTAAACTTGGCTTATCACTATTCCAGGAGCTTTTCTCTTTCCTAATCTTCGAACAGCTAAACGAGAAATCAAAAAGTGTTGCCTAGACTATAAGATACCCGGTACTACTTAAGGATTTAATTGCAATGTTAGGATTTAAAGATAAAATATTCCAAAAAATTCTTCAAAAATGTATCTGTACCCGGTACTTTTACAAAGCTTTGCAGAATATATTCGGGCTTATATCATTTAAGTCGCAAACACCACAAACATCAGCATCCCACAGAGCCTGCCTTCTGATTTGTTTTGCATATTTAAAGAACATGCCCATTGAATCTTATCAAGGTGGGGAATACGAAAACAAATGCATATATTTTCTGGCGTAAAATTATTGTGACAGACGTTAACATTTATGACAAACAGCCCACCAGAGGCCTCTGCATAGATAATATGTAACAGGTAATTGTTTTTCTTTCTCAATATTAGTCATGAAAAAAAAGAAAATGCTGCCTTTCTGCCTATTTTCTCAACTTTATTTTTTGCTTCATTTGTTTTCTGTTTTCGGTCTTCTGGTCTCGTTTGTTGGCATAAATTTATTGTGTTCGCCCGCCTCACGCATTTGCATAAATATTTTAATTTGCATTTCAACGAACACGAAAGCGAAACGAAGCCAGCCCAGAAATCCAAATAGCTATATATATATATATATTATATATAATATAATATACAAGTGTATATAAAAAAGCCATGTCTGGGGCCCTCATTGTTTTGGCCATTTACAGTTTACTGGGCCATGTTCTGGCCCAATATGAAAAAATAATAATCAGTGACTGTAGAAATAAAACGAAATGACCCAAGACTCGACCATCAAAGTGTTGTAACTATATCCAAATACAAATATCCTTTTTATCCGTTCTTGTCGGTTTTTTTTTTTCTATTTATATATTCATCAAAGTGGCATTTGTATGCAAATAAGTTTGGCAGACTTTGGCCCAAAAATTGGCATTCAATTTCTCGTTTCTATCGTATACGAAATTGAATTAATTTATAGTTATATGTTTTCAATTTTTGGTAATTTTAGATTTATGGTCTTGGCCACTCCAGCTACTAGCAATGTATGTAGACTTTAACTTTAACATCAACTAGTAGTAGATTCAATTCACAATCAATTTCAAGGATACGAGACCGAGACTCATTTGCATTTTTGCAGGTAGTTGTAGTCGGTAGACCAACCAGTTGGCCAAAAGGATCAATATTGACTTTGTTAAGACTTGGGCAGTGCTTCCAAAATCCATAGATCGTTGAAACTTTGGCCAGGACATTGCGTATACGACACGTAGCACCGTCCAAGTTTTTTTTGCTTGATTCTTATCAAGGCAGAACACAAAAAAGAGTGGAAAGCCAAGGGAAAACAGAACAGAAAATTGCAGGAAAAAATAGTAGGGGGTGGCCAGTGGTTTGGCAGCACAAAAAAAAAAAGAAAACTAAACAAACAACCCCTCCTCTACTTCTGGCCAGGCAAATATGTTTTCATTTTCCCTCATATCGCACGGACAATCCACATGAGCCTGGCAAAATGCGAGCGTTGTCTGTGAAGGGAAAGGAAAACTTTCCATTTCAAAATATTTTCTTAGCAAGCTTCTCATTGCTGGCATTTCTTCTCCTGGCTGGCACAAGGACATGCCAGTCGAGGCAGTCTTGCTTCATATTTTTGCTTTTTGTGTGGGCCATTGCATTGGGGCCCTGAAACCAAAAACCCAAGGAAACAAACAAAACAATAGAGTCTCGCCTTTCGTCTGGTCTTTTTGCCTTTTTTGGCAAAAAACAAAAAAAAAATTCCATCGAAATGCAGATGTTTTGTGTGTTCCGGTGAGGTACTTTTTCTGTAATTCGACAAATTCATTAGCAGGCATTTTGATAGCCAAGCTCTGGCTTTAACAAGCCGATCAATAAATTTCAAAATTCAATGCAATTTTATTGCCAATGGACCAATTAAGAGAATGGTAGGTGAAAGGCCTTTAATATCCTCAATTTTTGGTCCATTTATTTGGTAAGTTATTCACACAGTAGGCCCCAAATCCACTTAATTCAATCTGAAAGAGTTAAAACGATTCGAGAGAGAATGCCCAGTGGGAACAATCACTTTATTAGCCAGGCCCAGGAACGCACAATCTTGGTTCATAAACCGAGTAATGGCCATCAAATTTAAGGAATGAAAAAAAAAATGCCTTTCATCCTACTTTCGGGCCAAGACCCAGACAACCCAAGCCCTAAACTGTTTCTGGCCTGTTTATCGATAGATA